TTAATGTGTGACAGACACTGTCTATTTTTTAAAACTGCATAAATTGCAGGCTACTTATTGTTGCTTTCAAATGTAAATATGAACTTGATATTTGGTGCTTTTATTTTTTTATTGATAATTCTATGATATTCAGACAGAAGCAGCAATCATTTTTTCCAAAATTGTAACTTGAGATTTAACTTGATCTTTGTTACGTCCTGGCAATATAATTCCTCTATAAGATTTCCCCTCCTCTCCCTGTAGAGATTAGGGTGCATTGTAATCTGTTTTTAGAATCTTTCTCAAGAAAACACTCCAATCCCTTTTTTTTATCTTTTATCTCAGTATTATATTTTTGAATTCAGAAACTTTTTATACAAAAAAGCAATGTTTCAGTCCATTAGTTGTTCACTTTAGCTTGACCCAGCTTTAACTAGATTGCACATTGTGCTAATGAGATAGATGGGAAATGGCCTTCAGTAGAATGAGTGATTTGATGATCTCCACTAATTTACTATAGAACAATGACCACATTAAAGAGACATATTTTTCTGGCTTAGAAAAGACTACAGGCTACAAACTAATAAAAATAATAATAAAAAAGGAACAGCCTGCTATGTCTATTTGATATCCCATGTCCAAATATGTTTCTGACACAACTACAATGAGTTCATTGCAAATCCAAAGATTACTTAATGCGCTGATTTACATTACATGTACACATTGTATTTTTGTCTCTCTAGTCCAATCTTGTGCTCTCATTGTAGCAGAACATGCAGCTTAGATTTCATTTCAAACTATTTCCTGTAAAATTCAGTTTAGGATATTTCCTCTATTCATCTGAAGATTCTAATCCCTCTGATTCTACAGGAGAAAATTCTGCCTGGATTACTTATACTTTCTTTTTCCTAATTTTCACCAGCTGTCAGATTAGAAGACATGGCCATGACTAAACTGCCAGTAGTTCCCTGTCACAAAAGAAGTTGTGATTGCAATAGAAGCAGCTCGGAGTGTAGGCAGGGCTCTCAGTGAGGCTCCTCTCTAGCAGGGGAGCTCCTAGCAGGTCACATCTTCTCAAAGCAAGTGTCCAGCCGTGCGCTCAAGCTAAACCCAGGACACCCCCAGAATCCAACTTTGGAGATCAGGAATGAGGGATAAGAGTCATATCAGGTCCTCTTGAATTTATATCCAACGCATTCAAAGATGTCACTTGAAAAGAGTGCTGAAATAGCATCCTGTGTGTTAAAACACACAAGATTTCTGGTGGGAATTATTCACAGCCCAGGATATTATATTCAATAAAAAACGGCATGGGGTTGGAAAGAGCAGAAAATGCTGTGTAGAGGGTATTTTAAGATCTCTGTTGTTAACTGGTCTGTATTTGATCATCAGTTTGATCATTTTAAATTGCATTTTCTGTGCAAGAATCATAAGGAAGCTTCTAGGTCAAGCTAATCACGAGTTAAAAACAACTTGTGGTTGTCCTTCAGGTGCTCATTAACCCACAAAAAAAGAAAAAAACTGTTACTTCTTACTGTGTTTCATTTAATTTCTGCTCAAGCAACTAGCCTATTTCAACCTTTCTAAGTTGTTACTAGGAAAAAAAATCTGAAATATTAGAGACATTTATTGTCATAGTCATGCTCTTTTTTTCTTTTTTTTTTCTTTTTGTTTTTTTTAATATCTAAGATGGCATTCTTTGTGCTTCCTAACCTCCAGGATGCAATCAGTATAGGAGGAGCCCCAATGCCAAAATTCACTAACATTTTGATCCCTGGCACCATCTTGCTGTCTCAGCCAGAGGGCCTGTATAGAGTCTTCACAGTCAGAAAAATTATTCCTGCCTAGTTCTCTCCACTGACTCTAACGGCATCCTGGACAACTGGCTTCTGCTCCATGCCTGACTTTCAGATAAAGCAGATGAGATGGTTCCTGCCTTTAACCAGGAAGGTCTTAACTCAGGTCTTAACTGAGTTTCACTAAATCCTTTCACTCACTACTCAGCACCAGGCTAACCAGCACCATAGGTTTAGCCTCTGCAGAAGACCAATGAAACTGGATCACTGCATAACTGAGAAAAAAAAAAAAGAGCTTTAGTAACAGCATTCCTTAAAACAAAGGTCTTCAAAGATAATAACAGATGGGATCATTTTCTTCAATTCGGCATGTATTTCCTCATCCCTTTGCATTTCTATTGATTATTCACCGTTTCAAAGTCACAACTGGACCAATCAAAAGGAGTATCTGGGACTTCATTTTCCTTTTCTTTTCCTTTCAATGTTAAATAAATAGCTATGTTGCTCTTGCTGAGCCTGGGTTCACAGACCCCCGAAGCTCATCTGCAGGCTTGACTGTGGCTCAGGGGACTATTCAAAGCCTGCATGTTTGCTCTTTGGAAGGACATTGTTTGGGTTTTGGTCATTAGGAAACAGTGTCCACATGTGCTTACTGGGGCTGCCTGTGCTGCTGGCGTGTGTATGCATCACTGTGTTCTTATACTGTTGGTTTTGGATACTTGTTCTCGTGGATCATTCGTGTTAAATCTAGATCCTTTTGCAATGCTTTCTTATCATGGGCCTAGTAATTTCTTTTTCTGTGTTATCAGTTTAAATCTTTAAAGGAAGGCGAGCAAATTGTCTCTCTCTCTTCCTGCTAAATGCATAGTAATATTTAAACAACAGCTTGTCTAGGTCTGTAAACATCCTTAGCTCTTCTGTATCTCTGCCAAAGTAAATGTAGCCACTGCGCATTTTGAATGAAATGAGCTCTCTCTGGTGGCTAATCTTAGGTTTACAAGCTCTCCTCAGGTTTGCTCATATCAAGTCTTTATTTAAAAAATCCTGTTAATTTTTGCCTTTTTTTGCAATTACAGATTATAGCTATCTTGGATCTAGATCAAATAAATGTTTTCAAAATATAGTCCAAAATAAAAATGGTCTTCTGTAATGCTTCCATACATTATAAATGATAAGAATCATCAAAATAAAGGAAGAAGTGATTCTTTTTTTCTCCTTTCCTTGGCCTTCTGGAAGTTCCTCTGTGAATGCTTCCTAAATAGCACAGGAAGGTTAAAAGTGCAAGGCAAAGAGTAGCCAGGCACTTCACAAAGGTCTTAAGAATCTTCCTTCCTTAAGTCCACAAGATAGCTATGCTATTTGTCTTACTGGGTTTGGGTTCACGTAGCCAGGCTGTCAATGCATGTTTGCATATTTTTTCTCTTTTGCAAGCAGGGAAGATTTCTGTATATCCAAGACAAGTCCCTACACTCTTGCTGCAGCACCTTCTTTAGCAAAATCATCCTGTGCACTGATGTGACCCTGCCTGCTTGGATCAAAGCCCAGTCTCAGATAGCAATTTAGTCTGAATTATTTTAACCTTGATCAAGAAACAGCAGTTAGACCAGCGAAAGTCTGGTGAGGTTGTCAGGTTCCTCCTTCCTGCTGAAGTGCAGCTGTTCCTCGGATGTGTCATCCAGGTAAGGTGGTGTCCGGCTGAACAGAAAGCCCTGAGGGACCCTACTGGAGCGGGTAAACATTGAACTTTGTTTGGAAAAGGCTCTTTTGAAGTAGAAAAAAAAATAATGGGGATTAAAATGCTACACTGGAGGAGAAATACTTCCTGAGTCTGTAGCACTGTGAAGCCTAGAGCAGGTTTGTCCCTATGGGGTGGAGAAGAAGGGTAGTGGATAAGAAGCAGAGTCATCTTAGAGGACAGCCAGGAGATATCACGTATTGAATATTCCTGCAGTGATCTTTTCCTGAGACTGTTTTAAAAAGTGAGTGGAAAATAATGTGTTTAGTAAAAAGAATTTACTTTTCTCAAGTATATTTCTGAGATAGATATGATCCATTTTGTTGCTTGGTTCATGTGTGTATTTTTTTCCTAGCAAAAAGCAGGGCTGGGCAGCACAGAAGGTGGCTCCTTTCTGCACCATACTGGCCTTGCAAGGGGGCAGAGCCTCGTCAGGGGACACCCATGGTGACTTGTGCAGATCTGTGCAACCATGGGACTGCCACAGCTTTCCACATTATGATAAGATTTTGATAATTATAAAAATTGCCATGAGAAAACTGAGAAATTCTTTTTTTTACAAGTTGCTTTATAAGGGGAAAAAAAGGATTCAGACCTCTGGAAGGAGAGAGAATGATGAAAGATGAAAACATGAAAAAGAAGAGGTTTGCGTGAGCCAAACTTTCGTTCTTCCTTGTGATTGGAAGCAGGTTAAGTCTAATGCTTGGGGGTTAAATAAACTAGATCTACCATTCTGGAAAGGCCAGCTCAAGGTTCATGCATATTTTAAGTCATACTTACACTCTATTTTAAGGTTTTAGGTGAGACTTTAATGACTTAGCAGCTTTAAGCGGAATTTTTCCCCCAGAGAAGCAATCTATATGCAAAGAGTAAATCAGGGATACATTAATTTCTTCAGTACATAACTCCAGTAAGAAAGAGATTTTATGTTTTATGACTTGAATCACCTAGAAAGCAATAAGAAGTGCATCACTGATATGCCATCTCTGCTCCTTAGGATGAAGGTAATGCTCTGTGACACTAATGTATCCTTGCACCATCTGCTTTTTCAGTCAATAACACTCAAAGCTGTTCCTTTCAGAATTCATTCATTCATGTTTAGATTTTCTATAGAAAGTGTATAGATCACAATTTGTTATAGGAGGTTTCACTTATTGGACTTAAATATTTTAAAATCAAAGAGGTCAAAACTGTATATTAACAAGAGATAACTTAGTTGCACAAGGTAAGTTTCTAAAACAGACTTTTCTCCTTTTTATTTTCAGCTATTGCTGATATGGAAAGATCCAAATCCTTTGGGGGGTTTTGTATTATTCAGTAAGTTTCCTTGTAATGCTTTAGAAAAGATCAAAACCAGTGAAATCAAGTGCTCAATATTTCTTTTTCTATGAGGATCATAATGAAGTAAAAACTCAGGATAGGCTGACAAACATAATCAAGAGTTTCATGTTTTGGGGGTTTTGGAAACCGACATGTAAACTCTATCCTAGGTCTGAATAGAGCTATTCAAACCCACAATTGTGGGTGTCAGCTCACATCACATCCAAAGTCATCTGGGGAAAGAGGAGAAGAACTGAAGAGTTATTCAAGGAGATGTTAACTTTTCAGCTGCAAAACTTTAATGTGCTCACGTTGAATGCTACCTGCCAATTGTCTTCTGAAGGTAAAACATGAAATAAGCCCTTATTACTGTAATAACATCTCCTGCACTTGTAGGGGATATATACAAGAGTGTTTTCTTTGCCAGTCAGTGCCTGAGGAGAGGTGCGATCTTTTCTCACAAATCATATCAAAAACTTTGTCACCATCAGTGTATGTTACTGTAAACTTCTCCTAGCATTAGCACAAACATTAAAAACAATGAAGCTACAGAAGAATTTAGAAGACCTGCAAAAAGGAAATTTTATATTGGTATTCTATTAAGATATATATTATGAATACTAGCTTCTGAAAATGTATCCAAGATTTAGGGCAGACATTTATTTATTAATGTCTTAGTTTATTACTCTATATTATTACTGTTAATTATTTACGCACAAAGGTAAGTGTGCAAAGCAACAGTGAGCCCAAGGAAGTCTCCTGTGCACAAATTTGAATATATCGCAGGGAAGGCACTTGTATGGAAAAGATTGAGAGAGACACCAGAGGATCTACTATGTAATGTGAATAGACAGAGCAAAAGGGCTACATGACATTTCAGGGAGAGAGAGAAAGCTGTCAGATCAAATATAAAGGTGAAAGAATCACAGGACTTTGGGCTGTGTTTAACCCCATTTGTGCCATGCCATCGCTTGCAGGAGAGTTTGAGGACTTATAGTTTACATTCAGCTTTATGTATATAACCCATGGCTGTGATGTAGACAAATTGCTATTAGAGACAGGCCTGCTCACCAGAGTTTATCACATATGCAATGTGTTCATGTACAGGCAAAGGATAGAGCCAAGAAAAGGCAGAAAGAACTTGAGCATATGTATTTTCCCCTTATATCAAGCAGTTTTTCCAGAAGACAGATTAAGAAGCCATTGGATAGGAATGTTATAACACTAACAGTACACTGCTTCTGTACTGGCCAGTACTCACAAGTTCTATTCAAAGGTCTTATTGAGTAAGATACACCCATGCAGACAGCAAGTTAATTATATATATATATATATTATATACTTGGGCTTCCTGTTCTCATGTGTAGCTGATATACTGGCACATCTTTCTCAAACTATGATGTGAACTGGCAAGTGGGTTGCCAAAACTGAGATGACAGAGCATGACAGAGACTGAAAAGTACAGTTATATTATTCTAATCCCAGCCACATTTACAGTTATTTATTATTTGTTACGTGCCTGGGGTATTCCTGACACATTGCAAGACTAAAAGAATGATGTTCTCCATGTCCTTAATGAATTTTGCTGTTAATAGCCCAGCTGTGCCTTTTGCAAAAGCAAAGCAGCAACCTCTGCTTCTGAAGTATAAACCTTTCAGAAGCAAAAAGAAATGTTGAAAATTCTAGTAATTCAGGAGCAAATACCTGCAAGTACCTGTTCCTTGCACAGTCAAACCTGGATACATGCTTGTGGTTCCTACACAAAAGAGCAGTACAAGTAAATAATACTATGGTATTTTATTGCTTGTTTGGAACCTCATGAACATGGGATTTGTTTATTGGTTGGGTTGAAAAGTTTCTTTGTGAACAGACATTGCCAAATACGAAAAGAAGCACAGAGAGAATATAGAAGAGTTTAAGATAGACTAGAAAATGTTCATGTAGCTTAATTTGAGGAAAAACCTTTTGGGGTTGTCAGAAAGCAATGCAGAATTGGAAGCTGTGGGGAAGAATCCCCAAGTCTGTCTCTCTGATTTCATTCCCATCCTGTTTCAAGACACATGACCTTCTGACTGTTCTTAATAAGCAATAAATATGGTAGCATCAAAGATGTAATGCAATCAATGATTTCTAATCAAATTTCTGTGATGACTCCAAATATTATCCAACTGGTTCAAAAGTTGTTAATGAGGACAAATTATTTAAAATCTTGATTTATAGTTCTAGAAAAAAGCTTTTAACATTTTTTGTAATGATACTTATAAAATTACTGTGAAGACAGGCAGATCAACATTAATATATTAAAGACTCAATTGAGAATACAGCTTTTTTTCCCAAATATTATTATAACATACTAATAATTTGGATCTTTCAAAGAACGTAAAGGGTTTCCTTGGTGAACTAAGTTAAGCAGTGAAACAACTAGTGAGGTATAAATCATTTAACAACCTTTATAAGTTCTTTTTCCCTTAGATTTTCATGTGCCTGTGTTTTGCTTCTACTCATAACCATCTGATTAAGTTCCAGGAAATTCTGAGAACAGCCAGGCATTTTGTTTTCTAAATACACTGTTGGCTGAGCTTAGATCCATGATGAGCAGTGAGTGGCAGTTTGATTATCACCCCAGCTTTCAGCTCTGGTGGCAAGGTAAATGCTGGCAAGGAGAAAGACAAGGAAGTTTCAAGGTGCTTATGCATCACACAGCTCAAGTGAAGTGATGCTGCTGCACGCCCTCAACACACCGACTCTATTCAATCCATTTGAATAGAGCTTCTTGTAGCTATTGCATTGCTTGCTATTATTTAATTTTGTCTTGTTAATGTATCATCTTTGGCATGCATGGCACTTCACCCCCAGTCTAATGCAATTCCTTTTGTCTGGTTGGAGAACAGACAGGTCTTGAGGAAAGCAGTGGCTGTATCCCCATGCCCCATCAGCCAGAGAGGTGATGCCATGTGAAAGTGTGTCCCCTGCTGCATGCACCTGCAATATGATGCCCTCAGAGGAAGGCATCCTGGCATTGAAAAGTTGTTTTCTTTTAAGCAAAATATTAACCTGTAGCTTTTCTGCTGGTATTTTGTTACTGGATGCTACTTAATTAGGACTGAAATAATAAAAAAATTAAAACATTTACTCATTGGAGGAGAATTGTTCTGAGAGATATTTTATGTTACATTCTCCTGCATTTCCTTACCTGTGATGTTCTCAGTAATAGTGAAATCTGCTCTAAAAGTAACATTTTCTTTTACTTATTAATGGCAATATGATTTGTTTTAGGAAGGAAAAAAAGATTGACAAAAATTTGTGTCTTTAAGAGTCCTAGCATGAAAATAACTTTTTTGATATGGAGGGTTCTTCTCTCTAACTTTCCTGCTACTTTTTCCTTTTCACAAAGCAAATGACAAATTGTACCCAGAAGTAATTTGTAAGTGGAGTTTCCTAGAGCTAACATATAACAGAAGCAATATGATTCCATTGACTTTGGAAAAGAATGTTACGGAACGCATTTGAATGGTCTTGAATACTCAATGACCTTTTATAATAAAATTGGCTGTTGCTTTTTACTTTTTCTGAAAAACTGAATGCATTGAATATTAGGTTTGAGCCCTCACTCTCTAAAGAACACGAGGAAAACATTAATCTACAGATGTGTTAAGGGTTATCTGTCCATTTACAACCAGGTGATTTATAGTTTTGTAAACAATGAAATACATTTTCATAATCTAGAAGATGCTTATTGGTTTTTAGAGGAAAATTTATCACCAACCAGCATAGCAAAGGACAGTCTGTCAAACTATAAAATCATTCTATGAGACCTCTAAAATGTCTGGTATATTTTAACATACTGGAGAATAAAACTGGACTTTCTGATATTTTGTGATTGACCTTTTTTCTTATTTAATCTGTAAGACTTTTTAAAGTGGAAAAGAATATTTGATGGAATATATGGAAATCAGCCAACCTTTTATTTAATATCCCACATGAGTGAATAGTATTATTGACAGATAATGTGCAACTTTTTGGAATACAGCAAGGAAACTCATGAATAATTTTTCACTTATAGGTACAATTCACTCAGTAAATTAGTTTTGTTTATTTTTCTTGTTATTGTGCTACTAAATGGAAAAACAAATAGAAATGAAGAGATAAACATGAGATGGCTTTTCTGCAGAGTTATATTTCTATTTCCTAGCTTTTGAATGGTGGTGATTGATGTAATTATGTAAAACTGATATAAAAATGTGAAGGGAGGCCACTGTGCAACAAGACAATCTACTGATGCTTTCAAAATAACATCTCTAAAATAGAAATATCATGAATAATGTATCCAAAACATAACCATGGAACAGGCATCTTAGAAGTTAATTTGAAAATAAAGAACATCTTATCACTTTTGTAAGAAGAAATAATACAGAGTGTACAGACTGTACTGCCTGTGTTCACTGCCTGACTTTCCTGTGCTAAATATCTGCCAAATATTTTCTCAGAGAATGAGGAGAAAGAAAGAAAAATGCGGGCATCTTTATGGACATTTCTCATCCATATCTTCCCTTTCCCTATATCAGCTTCAGAAGCTTTCCTTAATGCCTTGCATAGTGAGTCTTAAAATCTGCATGTGGAAGGCATAGTGCTGTTTTTTTACTACTTATTGTTATAAAAAACAACCGAGGGATTGCCAGCAGTGAATCTGCCTCTCAGAGTTAGGTTTGAAATTTGCATCCCTCAGCTATCTGGGTAAGTGTAAGGAATAATTTTTGTTGTTTGCAATACATGAAGCAATAAATGGCTACTGAAAATGATTAATAGCCATACCGTAGCTCAGACATTTCATTGACCTCAAAAGCCATTTATTGCAAGTACATGGACGCAACAGAGATAATTGCTATTATACACGAAACCATAAAATCGGAAAGGAGGAAAATGAATCTTTGTCTCTTTTTTGTGGATGCTCAGATAGCATTCTGTATGCCCTCCCTAAGCAGAATTTTTCTTTGAAACATATACTGGAGGCACAAGTGGGATCAATAACATCACAGACATGGCCCTAGATACTGATTAAATGATCAAGGGCAGATATTGTTTGAGGATAAGCTGAAAAAGTGTTCACAAAAGCAGCTGGTGCAGGACAGAAGTGACCTGACTGAACAATGAGAGTTTTGTGTGCAGATATGTTGGAGGTTTTTTTTCTGGCTGAAGCTCTGTACTCGTTATGTAACCTCTGTTGCTTAATTGAGCTGCTGTGCCAGGTTGTCGGCTGCAGCTGAGGTTGGCTTGGCACAGCTGACAGGAACTGCAATGCCAAACTGCTGTGA